GAGGGAATACTGCAAAACTGATTTCATGAAGAAATATTACCGAGACTGTAAAAAAAAAAAAAAAGGACAACAAGAAATGAGAATTATGAGCCAACTTCCCTTGATGAACATAGATGAAAAAAATGCTTACAAACTGAATTCAACAACACATCAAAAAGATCAGTCACTATGACTAAAGGGACTTCATTCCAGGGATGCAAGGATGGTTTAATAGACACAAATCTGTACGTTATAGCCTTTGGGAAACAAATCACATAATCACCTTAATAGAGGCAAAAACAAAAGATCTTGGACAAGGTTCAATATTCTTTTAAGATAAAAGTGTTACTGGAGCTGGTAGGGTCAGAGCAAGGGCCTGGCCACCATCCTCAATAGGCCAATTAAAGAAACAAGCAATACTGGGAAGCAGAAAAGAGATTTACTAAATGTGGCCACAATGGGAAGAGGAACAAGGTCTTTAGGGTCCTGGCACAAAGTTTAAATTTAAATAGAAGGCAAAAGGTGTGTATAAATAGTCCTGGCTGAGGTGGCGACCTGCCTACCAGTGATCCATGGTTTTCTTAGCTCCATTCTATAAAGTGCAAAAGAACTGAAAAAAATGGAATAGAAGGGCGACACCTCAACATGACACAAGCTATATGCAACAAACATACAGTTAACATCACCAATACATGGGGAAAATAAAAACATTTCCACTAAAATGTGGAATGAGAGAAGGAAGTCTTGTTTTCTCCACTGTTATTTAATATAATCCTTGAAGTCTTAGCTGGATCACTAAAACAAGATAAAGAAACAATGGAGAAACAAATAGGAAAAGAAACAAACTATCTCTATTTGAAAATAGGATCATGCACATTAGAAAACCTAAAGATCATACTGAAAAAAATTTAGATCTGATGAACACATTCAACAAACAGAATACAGAATCAACTTTTTTTTTTTTAAGCCAGCAGCTTTCCTGTATGCCAATAATGAATATCCTGGAAAAGAAATCATGAAAATAGCCAGGCCAGTTGGGGCTACAGGGAGACCCTGTCTCAAAAAATGGCCAAAAAAGGAAATCATGAAAATAATCTCATTGACCATAGAGGGGGCGCGGGGGGGTGGGGGGATCTAGAAATAAATCTAACCCGGGAAGTGAAAGATCTAGACAAGGAAGTTCAAAAACACTTATAAAAGAATTATACGAAAAAAGGAACTATACAATAAATATTAAGACAGCAGAAGACTATGCTGGAGAGGTGGCTCAATGACTAAAAGCACTGGTGGTTCTTGCAGAGGACCCAGCCTGGGTTCTCAGCACCCACATGGCAGATAACTCCGGATCCAAGGGATCTGATATGCTTTTCTGACATCCATGGGCAGAATACATGCGGGCAAAACACTCATACATATAAAAGCAATTTTAAAAGGCAGCAGAAGATGGAAAGACTTCCCAAACTTATGAATTCTAATTTAGTAACTCATTACTTTTGGGCATTGCACACCCATGCATAGTTCAAACACTTTTTAAAAATTATATATCTATGTACCAAAAGCAATCTGAAGAGTCAGTGCAATCCCCATCAAAATTCCAATGACATTCTTTGCAGAAGCAGAAACAACAATCGGAAAATTCACATGAAAACACAAAGGAGCTAAGAGAGTCAAAGAAATGGCGAGTAAAGGCAGCAAGGCTGGTACTACCACAATCCCTGATTCTGAGTCATACTTCAGAGCCAGAGTAATAAATTAGCACAGTACCAGCACAAGATGACCAAGAATTAAACTCACACAGTTACAGTCACTAGACTTCCGATCAAGATGTCAAAAACATACCGCTGAAAAAAGTCGAGTAGCAACAAATGTTACTTGGAAAACTGGATATCCACAGGTGAAAGAATGAAACTGGATCTCTATTCCCTACCCTATAAAAATCAACACGAAATGGATCCAAAACTTAATGTGAGATTTGAACTGCAGAGAAAGCATAAACATTTCAAGGTATAGGCATTAGTAAAGACTTTCTTAAAAGGACTCCAATAGCTCAGGAAATAATACCAAGAACTGAAACACAGCATTTCACGAAAATAAAAGGTTATGCACAGCAAAGAAAATGACTGAGTGAAGAGACGTGGAATGGGGAAATCTTTGTTAGCTATGCATTTGACAGAGGATTTATATGTAGAATATACAAAGAACTCAAAAAAGAAAATACCAAGAAAACAAACAACCCAAAGGATGAATGGGCTAATTAAATGAGCACACAGCTTTCCAAAGTACAGATGCCCAGCCCTAACTGATGCACAAACAATGCAACCTTACACCTAAGATTCAGGGAATATCATGGAAGAGGGGTAGAAAGATTGAAGAGCCAGAGGAGCAGAAGGCATGCTGCTAGATATTGCATTCTAGATGTGATAGGAAAGCTGAACCCAAAATCTCTACAGTACGGTAGCCTAACAAGACCTGCATCACAACAAAACCAGTTGAAAAAGCAGTGTGGAGGGGGAAAATGTCAGGGTGTCTAACCTCCAAATGAAGAGCTACAGACAATCAATGGATCATGAGGGAGGGAGAATCAGTTTTTTCCAGGGACTACTTCCCTGACAGGTTATGCAATTCCACGTGGTTAGTCTTAAAACACATGTACCTACGAGTACCACTAAATGGACTCAGTGCCCATACATATGTATATTTATAAATGTATGCATTATGTGTAACAATAATAAAAGAGGACAAAAAATTGAGAGAGAGCAGGGGAGGGACATGAGAGGAGTTGGAGGGAGGATGGGGAGGGGTGGAAATGATACAATACTCATACATGAAATTCTCAAAAAACAAAAGCTATATATAAAAAAGTACAAATGGCCAATAAACATACAAAAAATGTTCAAAAATCCTTGGCCATCAGAGAAATGAAAATTAAAACTTCTTTGTGACTCCATCAGAACAATAAGTGCTAGGAAGAATTCTGGAAAAACAAAACCCTTATACACTGCTGGTGGGAAAGTAAATTTGTTCAACCTTCATGGTTCAGCAGTTAAGAGCACTGGCTGCTCTTGCAGAGGACCTGAGTTTTGTTCCCAGCACCCACATGGTGGTTAACAACTGTCCATAACTCCAGTCCCAGGGATCCAATGGCCTTGTCTGGCCTCCATGGTATTGCACACGCTTACATACATGCAGGCAAAACACTCATCCATATAAAATAAAAATAAATAAAATAAAACAAACAAACAAAAAACCCACATGAAACCAGTCAGTAAAACAAAGAGCAGTAGGTCAAGGAAGGAAACAATGTCCAGGGCAAAAAGGAAAGATGCCTTTGTAAGGGCTGGAGAGAAATGGGTTATGAATGCATAACTTAGCACATGGTGTCGCAGACAAGAAGAGACTTTCAGAACAGTCCATGGTCAGAACTACCAAATGCTGCTTGACCAGTTGAGTAAGACACACAAAAACATCCACTGGCTTTGACTATGCTTTGGTGGACTTTCATAGAACTGTAGCAGCTGAAGGGGCTAAGGTCTTATATTTCAGGTTAAAATGTAAAGAAATGCATAACCATGAACTGCCTGCGTGCAACTTCACCTAGAAACCCGAATGAGCAGGTAGAAACATACAGAAGCCACTGAAAGAACAGGTCAGAACGAAGATTCCCCCACATCTCTTAGGTTCTATTACTGGACTAAGCAGGAGGATTAGAGAGCAGCTGAAGGGGCTAAGGTCTTATATTTCAGGTTAAAATGTAAAGAAATGCATAACCATGAACTGCCTGCGTGCAACTTCACCTAGAAACCCGAATGAGCAGGTAGAAACATACAGAAGCCACTGAAAGAACAGGTCAGAACGAAGATTCCCCCACATCTCTTAGGTTCTATTACTGGACTAAGCAGGAGGATTAGAGAACTCTACTCAAACCTGTGTTTAGACCCCTGAAATACCAGGTTCTGCCCTTGCACTGTGCATTTCTGACAAGTGATTATAGAAAATATGTGCATTTATCTCAAGGTTATTATAGGAAAGATCTGAGCAACCTTAACTATTAAAAATCTGCCATGTCATTT